ATTCAGTATTCCGAAACAGAGCCTGATTAATAAAAGGTTGATGGATGAGGACAGAATCAGCCTTAGAGACACTGTGATCAGATGCTATCTAGCTACAATCTCATGAATCGTAATAGGGAACTTTATCAGTCTACCTAGCTGACTGGATCCAAGCATTTAGTTAAAAAGGGCACTTTCTTTTAATTTTTTTTTAATTTTAAACTAGTTTATTTACAAAATTTGAATACAGATTCTTTCCATTTTCTCACCCTTCGAACCATCAAATTGTACAACCCCATGATTAAAATCCCTTCCCCTGGAGGGCACTTTCTTATTTCATTATCCAGTGTCAGCATTGGCCTTGCTGATTCTTTTGTTGTTTTTTACAGTATAATTAATTAATTAAAAAAAATTTTTTATTTTATATTGGTTTATTTACAAAGTTCATATACATTGTTTTTCACACCATATCTTTCCCATTTCCTTCACATGCATCCTACTCATTGCTGATTCTTTTATGTCTCCATATCCGACTGATACTCTTTTTTAGATATATTAAAAGATTCCAGTATTTTCTTTTAAGAAATAGAACTGAGTCCCAAATGATCTCATAGATTTGTACATTAATATTCATAGCAGCATTATTCATAATAGCAAGAAAAAGAAAACAGCCCAAATGTTCATCAACAAAAAAATAGAGAAATTATGGTACTTTCACACAATGGAATACTATACAACATTCAGGAGCAATGATTTCATAAAATAGTATATAACGTGGGAGAGCTGAGAGAGTAGTATGTTGAATGAACAAGTCTTATAAGAAAAAATACTGTGTTTTTGTAAAAATAGAAGGATAACTAGTAAAATATGTATAGAAGTCCAAAGGAGGAAGAGTTAGGGTGGAAATCACTAGTTAACAGAATTTGGTGGGGTGGGGTAGAATTGTGAAAGAATTGGAAAGATCTACTGGGGATCTCAAAAGACAGGGTAATTGTGGACATAGATCAATGGTGATTAATTTTATGAAACACAATGTATAGAGATGATCATATAAAATTCAGTATGAATATAGGATTTTGTGAAATGCAACATACATGAATGAAATACTATGTATATGAATTTTGTATTCAAACCGATATTTTTTTAAATATTACAAAAATAATCAGTTTGTAAAAAATTACTACTCCAATCTGTCTTGTGTTCAGTTCACACAATTGCTTTATTTTAGAGAGCAGATTTAATTATTGCCTTTACAATTTTCATCTAACTTTGTACACAGCCTATAAGACATATGTCTATTCATTGACTATTCCTTTGTCTGTACTGCCATTGGTTGATTAAAAAGAATGAAAAATAAACTAGGACTGAAGTACCGGTGCTGAGATATAGTTTAACAGCAGAAGAAGTTTAGAAAATATTGGATTTTATATTAACATAGTCTTAGCTTGAGTCAATAATGTTTGATTCTTGATAGCAAGGAACCTAATATGTGATTTAGTTACTAATGAGATGAGTGCAGACTTAGTTGTCTTAATTGTGTCAGAACATAATTATTGAATGAGTGGTGGGTAAATGATTATGAAGTTGATAGGTCTATCTTAAACTTCATTGACATTTCATGCCTGTAAGAATAATAATTATTTAGTTCAAAGTCCACATTTTCAAAGAATATTGACAGACTGCCAAATAATGAGAGAAAACTGGCCATATGGGACTTGTGCAATATTCAGACAAATGGTGATAGGTCACTGGTGATGCTTAGCTTGAGAAAGGGAATACTTAGGTAAAAAAACCCCAAACAATAAAAACCTAAACTATTGGATACTTACTCTAGCCAAGCATTTGTGATAAATCTCCTAACATATTTTAAATTTTAGGGGTCTATCATAATGAAAAACATATATTTTTAATAGCCTCAGAAGGAAGAACTAGCACAGCAGGTGCAAACCATAGAGACAACTGTTTTCATTATAGTGATAACATTTCTAACTCTCAAAGCTATCCAAATAACAGAATAAGCCACCTTGAGGTTACTAATTTGCATGTTATTGGTGGTACTCAAGTAGAAATTGTATGGATATTTTTGAAAGGAAATGCAATATTACATGGATGCATGGACTAGATAAACTCAGACTTCCCAAATGATTTTGTGAGTCTATCATTATCTTGCAGTAGAGCAACCCTCTTCCTCCCCTTCAGTGACTTGAACTGTAAATATCTAAAAATCACTTCCCAATTCAATGACTGAACTATAGGGCAATCTAATTGCTGTATTCTCTCCTGATAATGACAAGAGGAAGGAAAAAAAAGAATCAGCAGAACCCAAAGCTATGGGGATGAGAAACAAATACGTTGTTCGTATATAATACTGAAAAAAGTTCTCATTTCCTCATTTGGTTTCATTTATTATTATCGCAGAATAAACAGAATTGCATTTTGGTTTCTTCTCAAAACATAATCTATTTTAAAGAACAATAAAATTCTCACTTAAGAATTTAAAATAGTAGTAGCATTTAATACTATCTTTGCATTTAAATGCTTATGTTTTGTGTCATGATTTTAAGTTTATTATCCCTAATGATCATAAAGCATTACTCTTTTGAGTTTTATTATCACTGATGTTGATGGTTTAAGTATCACTCAATCTATGCTTTCATGTGAATTAAGGCCACATCTCTCAAACTGTTTCCTGTTAATAGGGAAAGAAGAAATACTCTCTTAAAGTAACCCAAGAATAAGGCCATTTTAGAAGTATAGAACCCTGTTGCTGTTATGTGCCCTCAAGTCATTTGCAACTCATAGCAACCCTATTTACAACAGCTCTATACCCTGCTCTATCCCGTGCCAATCACACTGCCCCTGACACACCCATCCCAATTACCCCAGTCACTGAATCAATCCATCTCACAGAGGGTCTTCCCCTCTTGTGCCGTCCCTCCACCCTCCCAAGCATGATGTCCCTCTCCAAGGACCTGTCCCTCCTTGCAACATGCCCAAAGTATGTCAGACGAAGCCCCAGAATCCTTGCCTCCAAGGAGCAGCTTGGTTTAATCCTCTCCAAGATGAATCTGTTTGTTTTCTTGGCAGTCCATGGTACATTCAATACTCTTCTCCAGCACCACAGCTCAAAGGCATCAATTCTCCTTCTGTCCTCCCTAGTCATTGTCCAACTCTCTGATGCATAACAAGTGATTGCAAAGACCATGGCCTGTATCAGGCGCAACTTAGTCTCCAGAGACATACCATTGCTCTTGAGTACTTTAGAGAGGTCCCTAACAGCAGACTTTTCTATCGCAATACATTTTTTTATTTCCTGGCTGCTGGTGCCAAGAGTGTTGATTGTGGAGACAAGCAAACTAAAGCTGTGAACAATCTCAATCTTACAATCCATCCTGATGCTGCCAATTGGCCTAGTGGTGAGAATCTTTGTCTTCTTGACATTGAGCCTCAATCCATATTGAAGGCTGCAGTCCTAGGCCCTAAGCAGCAAGTGCTTCAGGTCCTCCAGCAGGATTGTGTCATCTGCATTACGCAGATTGTTAATAGATCTTCCACGAATCCTGATGCCACAATTCTCCTCATAGAGCCTAGCCTCCCAGATAATCTGCTCTGCATACATGTTGAAAAGGTATGGAGATATGACGCATCCCTGGCGTACACCCTTCCCAATTTTGAACCATGCAGTGTTATCCTGCTCTGTTCTGACTACTGCCTCTTGGTCCAAGTAGAGGTTTCGCATTAGCATGATTAAATGTTCTGGGATTCCCATTCTTCTCAGAGTCAGCCACAGTTTGTTATGATCCACACAGTCAAATGCTTTTGCATACTCAATCAAACACAGATAGACATTCTTCTCGTATTCCCTGTTTCAGCTAAGATCCATCTAACATCAGCTACAATATCCCTAGTACCACGACCCCTTCTAAACCCAGCTTGGACTTCTGGCAATTCTCTCCTGATGTGCTGTTCCTAGATACTATATATTTATAAATAAGAATTAAGAGAAAAAGTGATTTACTCAGAGCCACATGGCTAGTGAAAATGTGAGCATTTTTTTTCTTTGTCCCACAGTCACTTATTCAGTTATATGTTGTATTCTTGGCAAGATACAATTATTACCACTTTTAGCAAGTAGAATGTGTCTACTACCATTTGTTATTGAGTTAATGCTGATTAATTAGGACCCCATATGTGTCAGGTCAGTCTAGAGATTAAGATGTACCTGATCCAGGCCGTGGTCTGCACAATTACTTGCTAAGCATCAGAGAGCTGGACAATGACTAAGAATGGCAGAAGAAGAATTGTTGCCTTTGAGTTGTGGTGCTGGAGAAGAGTTTTGAACAGAACATGGATCACCAAGAAAACAAATAGGTCTGTCTTGGAGTAGGTGAAACCAGGTTTCTCCTTGGAGGTTCAAATTTTGAAGTTTCATCTCACATACTTTGGGCATATGGCTAGGAGGAGATATGTCACTGGAAAAGGACATTATGCTTGGGAGGATGAAGGGACAGCACAGGAGAAGAAGACTTTAGATGAGATGGGTTGACACAGTAACTGGGGCAATGGGATTAGGAGTGTCAGAATCAGTGAGACTGGTACAGGATAGGACAGGATTCAGAGCTGTTGTACACAGGGTTACTATGAGGCGTAGGTGACTCAATGCTACATAACAAAAACAATAATGTGTAAGATAGAACTGTATGGCATAAAGTTTTCAAGTAATGACTTTTCATATGTAGATACACCAGACATTTATTCTGTTGTACATCTGAGTGGATCCCAACTTCCAATCTATTTTTTAATAGGCTAGCATGATAACCATTTGTACTATCAAAACATATTTCCGTAATGAGGGACATTTATATCTTTCTTTGCAGCCTGATTTATATGTTTTATAAGTAGGTAGTATATGAGTTAAATTCCATAACTATTTTCTCTGTAACTTATGCCTTTGTTTAGGAAGACAGGCTTCTAAGGATTTCCCTTGTCATTAATTCTGGGTTGTTCTTGGATGTCTACAGTGCTGCGTACGATGCTGTCCTCGACAGAAATGTGGCCATTAAGAAGCTCAGCAGACCTTTTCAGAACCAAACGCATGCCAAGAGAGCTTACCGGGAGCTGGTCCTCATGAAGTGTGTAAACCATAAAAATGTGAGTTGGCTGTTATTTTTAAACCACTGACACTGGGAGCTTGTGGGATTTGGAGAAAAGTAACTGAGCCAACTTGAATAGGAAAGGCTTCCCTCACTTTGGAATTTCTGTGTTAAGATTGTTTATTCTACCCATACACTTCATTAGATCTCATTGTCCTCATGGTAGCTTTCAGCTTAAAATTTATCTAAAAACCATATGGTATAGACAGGATGAATTTGACAGATATTTCTCTGTTATATAATTAACCGTATTTGGTTATTTTTGTTCCAACTTAACCACAGAGCTTCATGGTGTGTTGTTTGGTTGTTGTTTTTTTTAAAATAGCAACAGTAACAACAACAAATGATAATTTATAGTTCCTGTTAACTTAGTTAACAGGTGAAGAGTTTTATTTGTCCTATTATCCTGTGTTTGTTTTATCTCTACTCTGGCACTATACAAGTTATGCTTCAGCATCTTATTTTATGTAGGGTGGTCAAATAAATTGGCATATATTTTTAAATTATTACTAAATAGTCATCAAGAGTATATTTTTACTGGAAGTTAAGGGAGTCTACATATTTTGAACTTTCTTCATTTCAGGCTCTGAGTTTCTTTAACTCCAATAAAGGCCTCTGGGTTCTTTCTTTGCTCCAGTTCTTTTTAGTAAAGACAAAGAGATGAGATCTTTAATTACATTAAGTTGGTATAATAACTTCCTGTAAAACATGAAAATCCCACAGACTACCTGAACTATCAGCACACCTTTATAAGGAAAGGATCTTATAAGTTTAACTATTCATGGTGACACTGAGAAAAAGCAGCTATCACAAAAGGAGCATATCGTTAAAAGATACTTGAAATACGAATATGAGGACTTGAGCTCAGTGACAGTGTTCTTCTGTTAACCATAAACGACATCCAAGCAGATTTATGCACACCCATGTTTATTGCGGCTTTGTTCACAATAGCAAGGAATGGAAACAACCTAAGTACCCATCAACAAACGAATGGATAGAGAAGCTGTGGTATAGTCACACAATGAAATACTATGCTGCAATAAAAAACAAGGAACTCATGCAATATTATTCAAAATGGTTAACCATGGAGGACATTATGCTGAGTGAAATATCTGAGTCACAAAAAGACAAATATTATATGGTGCCACTGTTGTAGAATGAGGCTGACGTTGGGGTGGGGGTAGGACTGAGAAAAACTGAATAAATTATGTTTACTGCATTGAAGCTAATGAGGGAGAGAATAGTTTAAAATTAATCTATTTTAGGTTGTTGTTGTTTGTTGTTGTTATGTGCCATCGAGTTGCTTGCGACTCATAGCGACCCTATGTACAACAACTCTAAACTCTGTTCTGTCCTGTGCCAATCTCATTGTCTCCAACACACTCATCCTAATTGCTCCAGTCACTGAATCAATCCACCTCCCAGAGGGCCTTTCCCTCCTGTGCCTGCCCTCCACCCTCCCAAGCATGATGTCCTTCTCCAAGGACTGGTCTCTCCTTACAACATGACCAAAGTATGTCAGATGAAGCCTCAGAATCCTTGCCTCCAAGAAGCAGCCTGGTTTAACCCTCTCCAGGATGAATGTTTGTTTTCTTAGCAGTCTATGGTACCCACAACACTCTTCTCCAACACCAAAGCTCAAAAGCATCAATTCTCCGTCTATCCTCCTTGGTCATTGTCCAGCTCTCTGATGCATAACAAGTGATTGCAAAGATCATGGCCTATACCAGATGCAACTTAGTCTCCAGAGACATACCATTGCTCTTGAGTACTTTAGAGAGGTCCTTAACAGCAGACTTTCCCATCGCAATACGTCTTTTGATTTCCTGGCTGCTGGTGCCAAGAGTGTTGACTGTGGAGCCAAGCAAACTAAAGCTGTGAACACTCTCAACCTCTTCACCATCCATCCTGATGCTGCCAATTGGCCTAGTGGTGAGAATCTTTGTCTTCTTGACATTGAGCCTCAATCCATATTGAAGGCTGCAGTCCTTGACCCTAAGCAGCAAGTGCTTCAGGTCCTCCTCAGTTTCAGCAACCAGGGTTGTGTCATCTGCATAACGCAGATTGTTAATAGATCTTCCACCAATCCTGATGCCATATTTATTCTCATAGAGCCCAGCCTTCCAGATGACCTTTTCTGCAAACAGGTTGAGAAGGTATGGAGACAGGATACATCTCTGGTGAACGCCCTTCCCAATTTTGAACCATGCAGTGTTTCCTTGCTCTGTTCTGATGACTGCCTCTTGGTTCAAGTATAAGTTTCACAATAGCACAATCGAGTATTCTAGGATTCCCATTCCTCTCAGAGTCAGCCATAGTTTGTTATGATCCACACAGTCAAATGCCTTTGCATAGTCAATGAAACACAGATAGACATTCTTCTGGTATTCCCTGCTTTCAGCCAAGATCCATCTAACATTAGCTACAGTATCCCTAGTACCACGACCCCTTCTAAACCCAGCCTGGACTTCTGGCAGTTCTCTGCTGATGTGCTGTTCCAGTCATTTTTGGATAATCTTCAGCAGAATCTTGCTCGCATGTGAAATCAACAATAGTGTTCTATAGTTTCCACACTCTATTGGATCGCCTTTCTTTGCATTTATGGGGTAGTGAAAATAAGTATTTTGCACCACTTTATGAAGTTTACTTAAATCCATTAATTCACACTTTAGAGCTGTTTGAGTCTTAAACTTGTTTATATGGATTGGTTATATTATTTTGTGAATGGAAGATTGTCAACTATAGTTTTAATCTTTATTTTCCCCTGGCACATTTAGTAGAAAATATGTGTCTGGGAGACTATTTTGAGTTACAGTTGATACTTTTGAATTGTGGAGCTGAAGAATAGTACTGAATATCCTATGGACTGCCAAAAGAACAAAAGAATATGTCTTGGAGAAAGTACAACCCGAGTGCTCCTTGGCAAAGGTTGTCTAGACTCATCTTTCGTACTTCAGACATGTAGCTACACGAGGCCGTTCACTGCAGAGTGAACATCATGCTTCGAAAGATGGACAGTCAGCAAAGGAGCCCCAATGAGATGGATTGACATGTGACTTCGGCAGTGGGCTTGAGTGTTCAGAGATGATGAGGATAGCATGGGATAGGGCAGGATTTAGGTTGGCTCTTAATAGGATCCCCTACTTGACAGTACATTACAACAATAGGACACCAGCATGAGAGTTTGAGTTGAAATACTTGTTTAATATTTTTTTTACTAATTAACTCTTTTTCTTTGTTTTTTTCTCTCTCCCATTTTGAATCTCTCAGATTATTAGTTTATTAAATGTTTTCACACCCCAGAAAACACTGGAGGAGTTCCAAGATGTGTAAGTAATGAAACTTCAGAGTAAAGAGAAGTTTACCACACAGTCATTCAAGAAACATTTTCAAAAGGCAAATAAGGAGCTTGAGGGGGTGGGCTATGGAGCTATGGATGAAATGAAAGGTGTATCGGTGAGAACCATAGAAGTTTCTGTTTGTTATGGTTATTGGCATTCTGTGCTTTGTTCATGTTCATGGTCCAATCTGAGAAAACATTGTTCTTATTAATTTCAGTCAGTGGGCTTTCTAGAGTCAGTCACATTGAAAAATGTTAATAAAGTGGAAATGACAAAGCCATCTTTTTTTCTTTTCCATAATTCCTTTGCATTTGGGAAGAAATTATTTCTCCAGAAGTACAGTGAGAATAAACAGAGGATAAAGAATTATTTCCCAATATATTGTCTTCTTTAAAATAGATAACATTGCATTTAATGAAAGATGATCCTGTGATTTCTTTTTTATTATTTATAAGAATAATACTTGAAAAGAATGAAGGAAATAAAAGGAAAAATGAAGGTAAGATGCAGGTGAAAGACATATGGACATTAAGGCTTATTGAGCCAATTCTAACTTCTCTTCACCCTATTGGAGAGAGTAGAACTGCACTTAGGCTCTGCAAGGCTGAATATCTTTATGAAAGCAGATCATCCCATTTTCCTCCTGCAGAACAACCAGTAGAGACCTTTTGGTTAGCTGCCTCTTGCTTAACCACTAAATCCCTTCTTCTCCATAATGAGATCATGGAGTGTTACTGATACCTCGGACCCAAACCCTGGGTAGTGCTTTCTCAAATCCTTGATTCAGTCAAAGATGGAGCTGCAAATGTCAGAAGACTTACTGATGCAAATGTCTGTTATCTGTGGAGGAAAACCACATTCTGCTTCCAAAAAGATTACTGTCAAGAAACTATGGAGCAATTCTACCTTGAATATGTAACATGACATGAGTCCACTCAACAGCAATTTTCTGTTTTCTGGTTTTCACTCTTGACTGAAGCACTTCACAGATTTTCTGATCTTGAACTAACACTGTGGATTTGTCCTCTAGTTACTTAGTAATGGAACTGATGGATGCCAACTTGTGCCAGGTGATTCAGATGGAATTAGACCATGAGCGAATGTCTTACTTGTTATACCAAATGTTGTGTGGTATCAAGCACCTTCACTCTGCTGGAATTATTCACAGGGTAAGAACACCACCACCAAAATTATGATTATGATGTTTTGGGAGAAAGGATGAGGCACAGGTTTTTTTACCCCACATAAGAAAATTTGGTTAAATGTGATGCACTTTCTTATTAACAGTAACATTAGTACATGGTTGACTGCTGTGTAGAGGAGAATTTTAGCTTCACTGACATAAATAACACTAAACATTAACTGTTTAATGTTATTTTTCAGGTCATTGAAAGTCAGCTTCTGAAGAGTTTCCTCTTTGCTAACCCTTGATTGGCAGAGGTCAGATACACAGATGAAATAAGACAGTTCATTGCTGTGTTTTGGTCTCGCAGCATTGACACATATATACTCTTCAGTCAGGCCTAGAAATGAAATACAAGCTTTAGGGCAGAAACAGGCCTCTGTGTTCAGAGTATACTACCCGTGTGACTGAAGAACTGGTGGTTGTGCCAAGTTGATTTAGTAAATGGAAATCATATGTTCAATTTAGTGCTGACTTTTCATTTCTTCTCCTATTCCTGTGTCAGGATTTAAAACCAAGTAACATTGTAGTCAAGTCTGATTGTACGTTGAAAATCCTTGACTTTGGACTGGCTAGGACAGCAGGCACAAGCTTCATGATGACTCCGTATGTGGTGACACGTTATTACAGAGCTCCAGAGGTCATTCTGGGAATGGGCTACAAGGAGAACGGTAGGGATGCTTCTGAATAGCACAATAATGATAATAAAATTTAAAAAAAAACATGAAGGAAATGAGTGCATGTTTTAGACAGCAAAGAGTCATATTCTCTTTCATGTTTATGTATGAGGTTTTTTAAATAGAGCTGACATCTTTCATATTCAGATTTTTCTTAATACTACTAGGAAGAATCACTCATTAAAAATGTGATGGATGTTCTGAGAAGCACTCTTTGCTAGAAGGGCCCTAAAACATTATTGCTAAAAAGAATTGTAAATGGAGTCTGATTAAGCAGTTGAGTGGATACTGATTAGGCCACTTGCTGTAGACATTGAAATAAAAATTGCTCTTTGGGCTGTAACACAATTCAGAGAATTCAGAATGAATGTGCAAACAGGATGGGATCTATCCATTTCACTTAACCCTTTGATTTTCATATGATCTCTTTACCTGATGGTGCTAGTACTTGGGGAAGAAAAATCGAATAAAAAGAAACCAGAACTGCATGCGATACAAATCACCAAAACTTCTAAATAGTGAATTTGGAAGAATTCATACTGAATAAAGTTTATTTAATAAATCCAGCCACTCTATGACTAATATTTAGGGTAGCAATTATCTTGAAACTCTTTATAAATTAAAAAAAATACAGAAAGGGAAAAATATTGAGCTCGATACTACTGCTTTTATAAAGAAAATCTAACAGTCACTGATAGAATAAAAGTAAAGGTAGGGAGAATGCATTTCAATGTCATTTTATTAATTAAAATTATAAATATATAAAATATCTATTAAAAGTATTGTGATCTATTATCCTGGCTGGGAAATCTCTTACAGATGATGCTGATTATTTAAAAAGTCTTCTAATATCTTTAGATATTATGTTATTTGAATCAAATTAGCATGTATGTACTTAATATACCTATCATACTTATTCCTATTTAGTTAATAGTGGTTTTTGTATAAAATCTATGAAAACATCATTATAAGCCACAGGCTACTTTTAGAAAAATTCTTTGGCCAATGAAATTAATATAGATAGATAGATAGATAGATATCTCCTCTCAACTATTAGCTAGAAACGTATTTCGTCTTAAGTAGATCAGGGCTCAGACATGGGGAACTCTTCAACTCCGGGAAGGAGTGACTAGTCCTCATCCTGAGACATTGGCCACAGGTAATTTATTTGGAAAAATATTTTTTATATATTTTTGCATAATTTACTTTAAAAACGAATAAAAAAGTAGTAAGTGACTAACAGTCATGAATCAAGGAAGCCCAGGGACTGGGACTCTGAATTTGCCTATCACGGCCCCTTCAGATATCTGCTGCACAAATGGCATGATTCTCCTTCACTCTTTTCCTTCCCGATTGTAGTACGCATTAGGAAAGGTTGCAGTCAATGCTTTGGTTTTTCATTCTGTTCTCCGTAATAGAGGAGTACGCATGCCTAGCACTCTTGTGCTGCCCTCCCATGGCCGGGAGGAAAGTTATCATACAGAAAAGCCGCTTGCTCCCACACAGGCATGCCATGCTTTCCCATGCACCTAACCTTGCCTCCTTTCCCCAAGGACCATTTCAATTTAACGTTTTTTAACCCCAAAGCTTCCCCTCCCCCTTTACTAAAAAACAGACTGTAGCAAGTGGTAATAGTGGGCGAAGCATGTATGGTCAAACTATAGTACAGCAAATGAAAAGTAAATATTTGTGTATAGTAATATCTAAAAAGAATACCATTAGTCCCTTTCTCGCCCCCTCTCCCCATTTTTCTTCTGGATAATACATGCAGTAATTAATATATTTTATCCTTGAAATATTTCAAACAGAAACTAAAACTAATGACAATTACAAATATCATTTAAAATTTCCAATTCTTTCTGAATAAAAACTATGACTCCAGTTCTTTCCTAGTATCTTGGTCTTGGGTAAAATATTCCTAAATTTGGACATAAAAAGATGGCCTCTTACTTCCCTTTGCGATGCCACTGAATGGACTAGAAGGCAGAGTCCCCTCTATTATTAGATTATGTCGTTTACATTGAGGAAATGATATGAAAAATTCATCTATGACTTTTTGCTGTCACCTTCCATGGTGATACTTTAGTTTTGCTCCCACTTTTCTATGCCATCCATGCCACTACTTTTGAAGCTAAAGAGATGCTCTAAGGCATCAGTAGAGTAATTTTAATTGTTAATAATTTGAAATTCTCATACTACACACTATGTATTAATCTTGTAGTGCTAGTCTTAATTCATTGGTTGGCCAACTTTGGTTTGGGCAAAAATTATACCTTCTAATCAAATTGTTCTTTTCCCTCCTCTTTTCAGAGGTCAGTGATCTTAGTTAACTTTGCTTTCCTCCCTTTTCTTCACTTCCCTCTCTCTCCTGTTCTAGTGGATATTTGGTCTGTGGGATGCATAATGGGAGAAATGGTTCGCCACAAAATCCTCTTTCCAGGAAGGGACTGTATCCTTGTACCTTTTGCTGCAGCTTTACCTGTTTTGTTCTCTCCCTTTAAACACATAATGATTTTACCAGGACAGTAAAGATAGAAGCAAAAAGTTGGGTAAGTGATATGATTATCATTAACAAAAAAGTATTTATACTTAAAATCTGGCCGCTTCTGAAGACTATCAACCACAATGACCTGTTTTAATTACATTTTCAGTGAACTTTTTTCCTTCTTATTTTCTTGCTCTTACTCAACATAGCAATGCTTCCCCCTACCTTCATTAAAAAAAAAGAAGCCATTAAGACTTCAAGTGATTAAAACATTAACTTTTATAAATAGCACAGCAAGGTAACTATTTCCTCTCACTCTCTTTCTAAAACTGTTTTGTGCTTTTCCAGTATTTAAGGCCTTTTCTTCTTTTGCTGAAATCTTAAGCTCTTTCTATAGCTTCACTGATTTGAATAGCTTTTGACACTATATCCAGTCCTAAATAGGCCAGTAGGTACCATATCCTCTTAATAGAATGAACTCTTGAATTTTAAAAATTATAATTATTATTCAAAATTGCCAGAAGTCTGGTGAGTTTAAAATAGGTATCCTTCACTCCACTTAGAGATGTGCTATATTTGCTCACTTTTTCAAATTTAGAATTTTGAAAAGCAGTGTTGAATTTATTCTATCACTAGATTCCATCATTTTTTTGCATACTATGCAGGATTTAGAGTTATTAAATTCGTTGCTATAGTTTGTAAATGAGAAAAAGTTATTCTCAAAGATATCCATTTAAGTACACTATATAGATAATACAATTACATGTTAATGGGAGAATACACTTTTGTAAATACAAATATCTTGCTAAATATACTTTTATAAATTAACTAATAGACTAACTGATGGATGTATTTTAAGGAGCTCTGTTGGTGTAGCCTTTAGGGAGTTGCTCTGCTAGCCCAAAGGCACCATGGGAGCTCTGTGGCAGAAAGATGGACAACCTCCTCCTATGTGGTTTATGGCCTTTGAGAACCCACTGGAGGGTCAGCTATGAGTTAGTTCTGATTTAACAATAGTGAGTTAGGATTTATCTTTGTGGGGTTTTTTGCTGGGGGAGATTTTGTTTGGTTTTTCTTTAATAGCAAACACTAAGACAAATCTAAGTAGTTTAACAATTGTAACATCATCAATGACAATTCAAGGGGTGTCATTTATCTTGAGTAAATTCTTTTGAGAGCTGACATACATGTGGTCTCTAATTCTATTTGATTCATAAAAATGATCAGTTAAGGAGCTCTTTTAGAGTGTAAAAGAGATTATGCTTTTTTATTTAAATAAGAGAAAATGCTAATAATTAAAACACCCTCATTAAGTAGTTGATGCCACAATGGGTACACCTTTTTTTTAGGCATTAATTCACACTGTGAAAATATTCTTTAAATTCCAATAGTAATGTGAAAGTAAACACATCTTCTAGAACTGCACTGTCCAGTATGGTAGCCACTGGCTAAATGCCTTGAAATTATGGCTAATATGAATTGATTTATGTCAGATGTATAAAATATGTAATGGATTTGGGGGAAAAATGTAAAATATCTCAATAATTTATAATTTATTATGTTTTGAAACATTATTACTAAAATATGTATTGTTTATTTAATATATTTATAATGTGAATACTAGAAAACTTGAAACTATGTATGGCTTGCATTTTATCTATTACTTTCTCTTCTGGATGATGCTGGTCTAGAACATGAGACAGTTTTATGACAGCCTTACAAATTTTCAATCTCCATTTCCACTATAATCCTTTACTATTCATACTGTGAAGAATTACTATTAAGTTTCATGTGACTGTTTAGGAAAATTCACTCAACTTTACATTGCTTCTTTTTAGTTTGGAAATAAATTGTATTTTTAATGTAGTTTATTTAAATAATACTACACTTCATATTCATATTTAAATGTGTCCATTTCAGTCCAAACCAGGAATTTCTCTGTGCTGCGTCCTTTAGGGTAGGATGTTGTTACTGTTGATTGCCCTCAAGTCAGAACTGACCCAAAGCTGACCCTCTAGTGGGCTATTCGAGGCACTAAATCACTAAATAAATAAATAAATGATAAAAATCACATGGGAGGTTATTACCCATCCTTCTCCCATAGAGCAGCTGATGATTTTTAAACTGCCTGTCTTGAGTTTTACTTATAGATAATTTATGATTGGCAGGAATCAAAATAGTCTGAAAATGTTTCTATATGAATTTAAATACTTACAATTATAATTAGATGTCTTAACCATAATCATATGAAAAAATTAACCAAACTATAGAAGTTGCTATTAACAATGAGGTGCTATATGTGCTTTATAAATTTTTAGTGAAATTCTTTCATTAATTTTAAATATAAATTATAATTCTATGAATAGAGCTTCTCACTAATAATCTAGATATCAAAATATTAAACTAACATCACTGTATCATTATGATCAGATACAAGGATGGAACTTATCCATAAGGAAAAGGATTTGTCAAATTTTGAGCATCTTGAGATTAATCAAGTATTTACATAAACAAATATCAAAGTTTATGACATGGTCCTTGATACATTGAGAATTTTTTAAAAATCAGAAATTCCATTTTTCAAAATAATCTATTTTAATTTATCTGAGGCTGAAAAAACAGTGTAATAATACTCTATAATCATAAAAATCACTTATTCACTTTTGTATATTTAGAATTTTATAATTTTCACACTCAATCTGAATCCTATGCAAAAACAGTAAAATGCCTTGAAAATCAGGAAATCTTAGAAAATTGTAATTTATAATTGAAGTGTCCTAGGTTAATACTATCTTTTAATTATTCAAAACTCTATTTGAAGTTCTTTAAATTTTATATAAACCAGATGATACCATGGAGTAGTTGTGTTTTTATACATATCAAAATGCTGGGTGAGTAAATAACAAATAAATAAACAAATAAGGAAAACACATAATTGTGATATTTGTGTCTCTTCATTACCTTGCTAATTATTTTAATATCAAAGAACATTAATAAAATATTTATTTTAATTGTATAGTATTTGTTAGTATAGTATAGTATTTGTTAATTAAGGGTGCATATAAATATGCACCCTTATATTAAATTATCATGACTATATTTCATAGCACATCTATTCATATTATGTTTTTGTTATGTGCCATGGAGTCACTTGCGACTCATAGTGACCCTATGTACAACAGCCCTAAACCCTGTTCTGTCCCATGCCAATCTCACTGTCTCCAACATACCTACCCTCATCACCCCAGTCACTGAATCAATCCATCTCATAGAGGGTCTGCCACTCCTCCTTTGTCGCTCAACCATTCCAAGCATGACATCATTCTCCAAGGACTGGTCCCTCCTTGAAACATGTCCAAAGTATGTCAGACAAAGCTTCAGAATCCTTGCCTCCAAGGAGCAGCCTGGTTAGCCTTTTCCAGGAGGAACCTGTTCATTCTCTTAACAGTCCACCGTATAGTCAATACTGTTCTCCAACACCACAGTTCAAAGGCTTCAATTCTCCTTCTATCCTCCTTGGTCATTGTTCAACTCCCTGATGCATAGCAACTGATTGCAAAGACCATGGCCTGTATCAGGCACCCCTTAGTCTCCAGAGTGACACCATTACTCTTCAATACTTTGGAGTGGTTCCTAACAGCAGATTTTCCCATCACAATACATCTTTCAAGTTATATATATCGCTAAAATTTCTTAAATTCATAGGAATTTCAAGTTAGAGAGCAATTCATATTCCAGGTCCCTTATATTCTTTACATAGTCCATCTCCAAACCAAACACATTGCAATTAAGTCAATTCCATCTCATAGCAACCCTGTAAGACAGAGTAGAACTTCCCCACAGGGCCATCAAGATTAAAAATCTTTAGGGGAACAACCTGTCTCATCTTTTTCCTGTCGAGTGACTAGTGAGTTCAAACAGTTGACCTTTAGGTTAACAGCCCAACTCTGCCTACTGTATCACCAGGAATCGTGCCTAGTCCAAAGACCATTCTAAACATATCAATAAATTTACAGTTCACTCTGCTTATGTTTTTTTCAATGATGTAAAGTTTTTGTAGTACACTTTATTTTTAAAAAGAGACAGCAAGACATACCATATTCTTTATTCCTAGAATTCATAGTTTCACTAGCTTTATCATGTCTGCTTTCTTTTTTATGTCTGCTTTTTAAACACACTAGTTATACATATTTTCCTCCATTCTACTTCAATTGGCTTTCTTTAGTAAGTGTTGTGATATTTTACTTAAAATTTTCTAGACCTGAGTGATTTTAGAAATAGGCACACATTGCGTTATAGAAAATTCTGGAATTCAAGTATATTATACCGAGTTAAAGCTAGCAATTGTTCTGCTAAAACACATCCTCTTGTCTTTCCCTCCACTAATCATCAGACATTTCAGTTAGAAAGTCATTTACAAAGAAAACAACTAGATAAAGACATATTTGAAGAAATAAAGTATTCTCAGATGAATTTAAAATATTTTGTAAGTTTAAACATGAGAAATAGTAATAATGTCAAATGAACAAAAATTAGAAGTAGCAGATTGCTATTAAGTCTGTCTAGTACAGTTACTTCTGAGTTCATTTTCCTTTTCTGAAATAGGATTTATGTCTTAGTTACTTTTTAAATTCATATAGTACTGTAATCAGAAACCTCCTAGATGTTTAAGGCAATGCAGGATTATCTCGCACATTATGCAATTTGGAGCTTTAAATAAAATTGGGATGTAGAAATTCAGTAGCTTTTCTTTCAGGTCCATAAGCAGAAATTCATTAATTTATTTAGAAGATAAGAGATTGCTTATTATTTCTTTAGATTTGCTTTAAATAATATTTTTACTGTAAGGGTTTTATATTCTCCTTTTCTGTTGTTTTTAGGAATTTGAGTGAGACAGGAACACTGGCAATCCTGAGATCATTTTAAAAGATGGAAGGTGAACATAGTTCTAAGAGTAGAATACC